GACTCTGCCCAGACGTGCCTTCCTCCAGACCGTGCTCTGCCAACAGGCGGGCGACGAGCATCGACACCCGTGGAGCCGTGCCCTCGGCTGCCCGAAGCACCTCCCGACCTCCCCTAGTCTCCCAGCCCGGCCCCGGCGTCCGGCGCGGCACAGCAGGCCTGACCCTCGGTCTGCTTTCTGTCTCCTCACACCGAACCCCTCGTTTCCCAAATACACCACGCTGTTCTCACGCGGCTCTTGTTTTTCCACGTGCTCATCCTTCTCTCTGAGACACCAGTTCTCTGTTTTCCACCCGGAGAAAACCGTGAAGACGTTCCTGAACCCTTCCTCCTCTTCCAAGCTGAGTTTAACGGCGCCCACGTCGCTCCCCAGCGCCATGTTCACACCGCCACACCTCGGTCACTGTCACTTACTGTTGTGCTTAGAGGTCCGTCCCTCGGAGTCGATGAGGGAGCCGCACGAGGGCCAGGGCGATGTCGTCTTCAGTTGCGTGCTGGCACTCACGGGCAGGTGGACTAGCTACTCAGGAAACGCCCGGGGGATGCGTGCGAGTTATTCCTAGTCTGAAACTCACCGTCGTCATGGTGTGGGGGCCTTTTCAGTCTTTGCAGCTTTCGTTTCCTTTTTTTTTTTTTTTTTTGAGTCGGAGCCTCACTCTGTCGCCCAGCCTGGAAAGCAACGGCATGCTCACGGCCCCCGCAGCCTCAGCCTGCTGGGCTCAGGAGATCCTCCCGCCTCAGCCTTCCAAGTAGCTGGACCCACAGGTGCATACCACCATGCCCAGCTACGTTTCTGATTTATTGTAGAGACGAGGTCTCGCCAAGTTGCCCAGGCTGGTCTCCAATTTCTGGGCTCAGGCAATCCTCTTGCCTCGGCCTCCCAAAGCAGGGCTTTCGGTGTGCAGGACGGCACAAAATCCCTGTGCTGCTCTGTCCACTGGGCCTTCACGACAGTGGGGATGACAAGCAAAAGGGAGAAACAGAAATGTGCTGTCCCCCAAGCTCTCCACTCCCTAGCACTCTGTCTAATGTTTATGTCTCCTTAAGTGCAATGAGTGTCACAGCAGCAGCTGCCAATCCCAGAGTTTTGCTAGTGTCTGAGGTTCAGCGCGCAGCTGATTCCACCGTTCATCCTCCTGCTTCTTAGCAATTAGTGGAGCAGACGTGTCGTGTGCAGCCGGGCAGCTCTTGACGGCAGGGTACGTTCGAGGTCATTAGGCCACGTTTTGCTGCACAAACATCATAGGGGGAGGCACTTGCAGAGACCTCGCTGGTGTGGCCCACTGCAGGCCTAGGCTGCAGCCTCTTGCTCCTGGACTGCACACGATGCAGCCCGTGGCTGTGCTTAACACGGCGGGCAGCCTGACGCAACGGTCTCTGAGCATCAAAACGCATCCAAATGTAGACAAGGGGTGGCCAAAACACAGTGGGCAGGATCAGAAAGGCCCGTCTGTCCAGGGCACTCGCCCTGAGAGGTGCTTGCAGGCCTGGAAGGTGCTCTGGTGAGGCGGTGGGTGGTGGTGAGTGAGTGTGAAGGCCTAGGACATGACTGTGCTCAACGGCAGACTTCACACACAGCGCATACACTTGTGTGCCTAATCCTGAGTTGTAGCTCACATTTTTTTTTTTTTTGAGTCGGAGTCTCACTCTGTCGCCCAGACCGGAGTGCAGCGGCCGTTCCCAGCCACCGCAACCTCGACCTGCTGGGTTCCGGTGATCCTGCCGCCTCAGCCTTCCAAGTAGCCGGAATTACAGGCGTGCGCTACCACGCCTGACTAATTTTTTGATTTATTGTAGAACTGAGGTCTCGCCTGCCCAGGCGGATCTCAAACCCACGGGCTCAGGCAATCCACTCACCTCAGCCTCCCAAAGGCGTGGGAATACAGGCTGAGCCACTGAACCCGGCTCACATTTTAAAAATAAAATCTAAGCCGGGCGCGGTGGCTCACGCCTGTCCTCCTAGCACTTTGGGAGGCTGAGGTGAGAGGACTGCCTGAGCCCTCGGGTTCGAGACCAGCCTGGACAACTTGGCGAGACCTCATCTCTACCATAAATCAGAAAATTAGCCGGTCAGGGTAGCATATGCCTGTAGTTCCGGCTACTTGGAAGGCTGAGGCGGAAGGATCGCAGGTCGAGGCTGCGGTGGCCTTTGCACTCCAACCAGGGTGACAGGCTGAAATTCCAACTTAAAAGAAAGTAAATTAAATTTTTAAAAAATGTGTAAACTTAGGCTGCACAAAATGATTTTTTCTTCAGTAATAAGTTAGCTTACTGTAACTTTTTTACTTTATAAACTCTTTAACATTTTTTAACTTTTCAGCTCTTTTGTAATAGCGCTTGTCTTAACCCACAAACACATTGTACAGTTGCAAAAATATTTTCTTAATCCTTATTCTGTAAACTTTTTCCGTTTTTACAATTCTTTATTTTCATTTTTTTATTTTGAACATTTTCATTAAAAACCAAGACCCACACGGGAGCCCGGGCCTGCACGGGGTCGGGGTCGCCATCTCACCATCTCGCCGTCTCCGCCTCCGAGCCCCGTGCCCCTGGAAGGTCCCCGGGCAGCAGCACACATCACCTCCTGTGACTGCAGCGCCTGCTCCCGCACACCCCCTGGGGGCCCCGCCCAAGGAAGTCTGGCAGCGGGATTACAGGCTGAGCCACCGAGCCCGGCTCCTTACTCTGTTTTTAAACCCACTGGGTGTTGGATATAGAGACCCCCTAGGATGCAGGATGGAAGGAAACTAAAAATTAAGCCGAACAGCCCTGCAACGACAGTTGAGAACCGAGAAGAGAGGAGCCAGGCAGGGATAGAAGGCAGGTCACCCGCAGTCCGCCCCAGCCGGGCCAGCTAATGTTCAATTTTGGCACTGAGGGCCTGTTAGGATGCACACTCGCACCGTTGACACCACAGCCCCCAGATCCCGCACATCAGTGCCTCCTGTGAGGTGGTCCTGGAGTCCAAGGAAGAAGACGGCCTGCCGGCTGGGTCAGCGTGGCAGCACATGGCGCAGGGCAAGTGCCCGCCCGACGCCGTCGGGGAGGCTCCCGGGAGAATCACGAGCCACCCGTTGCTTCTCCGGAATTACGAGAGACGTGTCGGAGGACGTGAGGACATGAGCCCCCTCGCTGTGTGGGACGGGCCTTGGGCCTTGAGCCAGCCCCCTCGGATCTCAAAGGATGGGGGCTTCTGGGGAAGCCCCACCCAAGGCCATCAGTTTCACCGGCGAGTTTTATCCAAAACAGCCCTGAGAACCTGACTCGGTTACTGCCAGATGTTGGTGAAGGTGTTGCTGACTCCATACCCCGTACTCTGCACCAGGACCCAAGGACATTTTCTTCTAGGTTTTAGCTTGGGAAATGGTTAGGCTTGTCTTTTTTTTTCCGAGTTGGAGTCTCACTCCATCACCCAGACTGGAGTGCAGTGGCCGCTTCCCGGGCCTCGACCTGCTGGGCTCTGGCGATCCTTCTGCTTCAGCCTTCCAAGGAGCCAGAACTTACAGGCGTGTGCCACCACGCTCGGCTAATTTTTGATTTATTGTAGAGATGAGGTCTCGCCAAGTTGCCCGGGCGGGTCTCGAACCTGCGGGCTCAGGCAGTCCGCTTGCCTCAGCCTCCCAAAGCACTGGGATGACAGGCTGAGCCACTGAGCCCGGCTAGGCTTGCCTTGAATAATGAATTAATTTGTCCGATCCTGTTTCCTCCTCTGCCTTGTGGGCTGGATCGCTCTACAGTCAGCAAAGCCCCTTAACCTCACGCTCGGGTTTGAACACCCCTGACCTCATCTTATCCCTCCTACTCTTGTTTGTCCTCTGATTCAGTTTCCTCGTTTGCTTATTTTTAATTTTTAAAATTTATTATGGCTTAATTTTTATTAGTGACCTTGATTTGTTTTTGCTTTTGTTTTTTTAGAGACAGAGTCTTTCAAGTGATGCTCCTGCCTCGCCTCCTGAATAGCCAGGCCTGCAGGTGCACCCCACCACACCCAGCTAGCCTTAATCCATTTTTTAAAAACTAAAGGAAACAAATATACAGTCAAAAATTTCTCCAGAAAATTTCTTTTTTTGAGTCGGATTCTCACTCTGTTGCCCAGGCTGGAGTACGCTGGCATGCTCACGACCACCACAGCCTCGACCTGGACTCAGGTGATCCTTCCGCCTCAGCCTTCCAAGTAGGTGGAACTACAGTCACGCACTACCAGGCCCACTAATTTTTTGATATATTGCAGAGACAAGGTCTCACCAAGTTGTCCAGGCTGGTCTTGAACCCACAGGCTCAGGTCATCCTCTCGCCTCGGCCTCCCAAAATGCTTGGATGACAGGCCTGAGCGTCCGCACCCAGCCTCAGAAAACTTCAACTCCTTATTTTCCATTTATTACTATTTTCTATGTGTAGTCCTAATACTTTACTCCCTGTTAAAATGACATGAGACTGAATATCCTCCCTGCATTTGATTTTGATAAATGTCCTGAAATCCTTCCACAGAGCTCATAGCATAGCAAAGAGACAGTGAAGTGCATCTGGACTGGAAATACTATAGAGGAATGAGGCGCTGAGGGTGGACCTGAGGGAGAAGGGTGGTGAGTCCAGAAGGACAGACATGGAGTAGGTGGGAAGGTGCCAACATCTGTGTGTCTGTGGAGCTGAAGTGAGAGTCCGGATGCTGAGGACAACTTCCTCATCGGCTAGGACTTGGACCGCACAGGTAAGAGGACAGGGGAACCAGAGGGACAACTTGAGGTGTTTCAAGAAGTGCTCGTCATTGTAGCCGCAAATGTATCCTTGAAGACTAGCCACAAATGACCTGGCCCCACTGAGTGGAGCTTCTTTGAGTCTCCAAGTCTCAGTCTTTAGAAGACTAAAGACTAGAGGTAATATCCCCTGCATTACCCTCTTGTGAGAGGTTGCTTCCCATCTTGAAAGCATGTTTCTGTTTGGCCAAATGCTGTTTTGCTTACGAATGCTCACTGGATCAAAAGAAAGACAAGACTCTACTCGTGCCAGAAACACAAGCTAAATATTTTATTAGATTCTAAGGGAGAAAAGTGGAAAACGTGCACTTCAGTAAAAATCTATGACCCGTCTGAAAGAGCCAACTTTGGCACTTGTGGCCCCCCAGTCAAGAAATCTCCTGTACTCCCCCGGCCTCAGTAGAAACTGCCTTCCCCGGTAGCTGGGCATCTCGTAGAGGATCCAGCTGCCCTCCAGCACGTTGAGGGAGTGGACTTCGGTGAGGTGGAAGCGGTCCTGGACAGAGAGGCAGTCGTCTGTCATCTCCGACATCTGTCCCCTGAAGTCCTCTCTCTCGTAGATTCTCATTCTGAAAGTGCCGGAGTGCTGGGGTGGCGAGCAGAAAAGAAGAAGCGGATGAGCACGACCTGCGGGCAGTTGGAGGCCCCGCCCGGCGCCTCCCTACCCACACCGTCCCGGGGTTCTCTGAGTCCACGTTTGCCTCCAGAACAGCCACGGTGCCGCGGCCGG